CAAGGTGCCCCCTGCCCCCTTCTGTTCTGCTCTGTGGACAGTGTGCCCGTCCAGGGTCCGTGGGCGGCCTCAGGGCTGAGGCCTCTGTGGTGGTGAGGAGCCAGGGCTCAGAGAGCGGGCGAGGCGAGGGCGAGGGGTGGAAAGGCGCAGGGTGGTGGGGAAGGGGTCTGCGAGTCCCCCCTCGCCCCCTGGTGAGGACGCCAGAGGGCACCTGGGGGCATGAGACTGAATGCGGCAAGGGCAGGGACGGTGGGGCCGCGGTGCCCTCGCCGAGCCCCGTGAGGCCCCGGGGGCCCCTTGCAAGCGCCCGTGTGCAGTCGGGCTCACCCCGGGCGCCGCGGCTCAGCCCCCCGGTACTGTGGGACTGAGCGAGCACCGCAGGCGGCGGCCCGGACAGGACCCGAGGGGTCACGGTCACGGGGGGCCAAGGCCGCGGGCAAGGTAACGGGGAGGCCCGACCGTTTCCAAGGCCGGGGGAGACGGCCCGCAGCGCAGCCGGTCTCTGCCCTCCTTGCCCCTGAACGTGGCGGAGTCTCCCCCACCGGGTGACGGCGGGGGCGGCCCAGCTCGGGGCGGCACCGCGACGGTCAGGGCCCAGTCCGCGTGGCCCTCACGGTCCCCCGGATACAGGGGGTTTGCGATGTCAGGGCCAGGAGGGTCACAGGGTCCCCGGGGCCCACAGCCGCGCCCTGCCGTCTCCCCTCGCGGTGCCGCCGGCGCACAGGCCCCGCCCGGGACGGAGCTTGTTCTCCGCGCGGCCGCACACGAGGGCCGCCGAGGGTCCCCTCCGCCCGGCAGCCGCGGGGTCGCCACACGCTTATCGGAGGACGGAGTTTTATCCAAATCCCGTTTCTCCAGGGACCCGCTGCAGAGGCCATTCTGTGTGCAGCCCTGCGCGCCCCCGAGGGGACCCGAACTGCGGCGACCGTCAGGGCCACAGCACAGGCCCCTCCGTCCCTCCTGGGGACCGACGGACATAGGCCTCACTCGGGCTCTCGATCTCGGAAAGCCCAGATCTGGGCAACGGCCCCTGCCCCTCCCCGACCAACAGGGCTCTGGGGGGCAAGTGACCGGCGCTCCCTGCGGGGAAGCAAATGTGTCCGGGAACTGAGACGACTCTCCATCCCGCAAAGGTCGGCGACCGCAGGCTGACGATCTGCCTCTTCCCTGTCCCTCCTGACCCCCCAGCCGGCCCCCTGCCGACCCCTGCCGCCCCTCCAGCCGCCCCCCTGCCGCCCCGCTCCCGCCCCCCCATAGCCGCTCCGCTCCCGCCCCCCCAGATGCCCTCCCCACCCCCAGCCGCCCTGCTCCCGCCCCCCAGCCCCCCTCCCCCCCCCCAGCCGCCCCGTTCCCGCCCCCCCCCAGCCGCCCCGCTGCCCAGAAACCCCTGCCCGATGACATCAGGAAAGAGCAGGTGGGCAGCCGCACCCACTGTGCCCGCGGACGTCCCTTGCCGGAGACCGAAACTGCGCGGTCACCCCTGATAGCAAGGCCCAGGGAGGAGACTGCAAGGCAGTCAGAAGAAGCCCCTGAAGAATTCTTCTTCTCTACTTTGTCTGTACCTTTTACTCTCACTTCTGCTGTGAGTCTATTCTAGGGTTAATATGAAACCAGAATCGCCCAAATTTCCCCCCTTCCTCCAAAATGGAATGTACCTAAGTATCATGTCCGCCCCCTCAATCAGATGTTGTCTAATGAATATGGTAGCAATTAGCAAAACTGGAGACAGTCCGCTATGCATGGGGTCTATAAGAGACCTAGACTTCATTTTCCTTGTACGGGTCTAACTGCCAGTAAGAACACATATGATGCCATAAGCAGAGACAAAAACAAGACTTACTAGTTTTGGAGGGCTTTCTCGAAATAGTGTTAGAGAAAATTTGCCTGCTGACCTCAAGCCTGTAAGGCAATTTATGGATTGTTCTGTCCAAAGAAAGAGATTGGAAGTGCAGAGACCGAATTCTAGTTGATCCACGTAAAACATTTCCATACGTCGGGGAACCTGGGTGGCTTAGTTGGTTAAGCGTCAGACTTTCGCTTAGGTCATGATCTCGCGGTTCGTGGGTTCGAGCCCCGCGTCGGGCTCTGTGCTGACTGCCAGCTCAGAGCCTGGAGCCTGTTTCAGTCTGTGACTCCCTCTCTCTCTGACCCTCCCCTGCTCACGCTGTCTCTCTCTCCTGGAAATAAATTAAAAAAAAAACATTAAAAAAAAATTTAAAAAAAACATTTCCATACGTCATCTATGATAAATGTTGACATTGTTCTTTCTTAGTAAGGGGTCGTGAGAGTCTGTTACCTACAACCACGGGTACAAGTATATCCTGTGTTTGCACGCCCACTGAACTTAAACAATTAAAGGGCACCGTGATCTCATGTATTCTGGCAATATGCTTCACTTATCCTTAGATACCCGGCCACACGTAGTAAAGAATATGTAAAACTTTGTTATGACTACCTGGTTAAATTTTATTGGTTGAAGTGGAAATTACGTACCATGAAATCACTGTTGACAAGAAAACTTAGAAATGTTAAGTCCCATGACTGTACTCAAAAAATGTAAATTGTTTAAGCATGATTGTTTGAATTTGCTATATAAAAACCCTAAGCTGAAAAATAAATTTGAGCAGTCCACCTGAAGAGGCTGCTCCGTGTCTTCTTTCGCCGACACCAACCATCACTCTCCGGGCCAACCCTGGCTTCAGAGGCTGGACCCCTGCAGTCCCTCACCCGCCATCACGAAGCTCCTGGTCCCGGGCGCTGATGGCTGTGTGGCCTGGACGGCCCGCAGTCAGCCCGGCTCCAGGGGTACTGGCCTCACTCCTCCCGAGCGCCCCCCCCCCCACGCCCTGGCCCAGGCTCCTTTCTCCAGATCTGGGTTTGTGGATTTCACAGTCCCAAATTCACACTCAACCCCATCACAGTGTGGACGGGCAAGTGAATAAACACGAGTGGTTTTCCCCAGGCTTCCGTCCTCCAGGCCCAGCCCCAAGCCCGGCCCATGCCAGCGGGGACCAAACAGCCGGAAGGCACAGGAGCGTCACCGGATAAAGGACCTAAGGCTGCCAGACCGACCCCTGCGCCTGGCCAGGTGGGGTCCCTGGGATGTGCCCCAAACCAGGCAGGGTGGGGGTCGGTCCTGGTCGGGCCACTGCATGGACTGGGGGGGAAATGACCCCAGCTGGCTGCACACCCCCTCCCCCACCTGCAGCCATTACTCCACGGTGGGGAGGGGGCGTGGTCTGAGGAGGGAGCCCAGTTCTGGGAAGGGGCGCCCGTCCCCCCACCTTCCACCCAGCGGCCACCCCTCTCTCTTTCTGCCCAGTCACCTCCTGCCAGAACCTCCTCAGGGAGCTGGGTTCACCCCATCCCGGTGGATCCTCACCCCATCCCGGTGGATCCTCACCCCCTCCCGTCGGATCCTCACCCCATCCCGGTGGATCCCCACCCCATCCCGGTGTGGCCACCTGGCGTCCGGCGGAGAGCCCTGGGCGTGAGAAGGGCCCCTGGGCGTGAGGCGCTGCCCCTTTGGGCGGCAGCCACAGGTGGCTCCGGGCTCAGAGGAGAGGGTAGCATTCCTGAAGCCCCAGGCTGTCTGGTGACAAAGATTCTCTGCTTGACCAACTTTTAGTCAGGTTCTGGAACCTTCTCCTGGGTCCACGTGTGCCCTCCTGGGACCTCCGTTTCAGCAAGAAGCCCCCATCCTCCACAGCCCATCCCTCCCTACACCTGAGGCCCTCCACATCTGCTCAGTTTCCTCCCCCACCCCCCCCCCCACCCCCACCACCCCCACAAAGGTCTGACCCCCTGGCCTGCCCTCAGCAAACACCCCGGCAGGAGGGCTCGGCCTGACCGCCTCGCCCGGAGGTGTCTGGTCCGTCCGCTGACCCGCAGCCGCTCTGCCGGGAGTCCCCGCCCCTGCTGCTCTCCGATGGAGCCGGTCCCCTCCCACGGGGACCCCCCCCAGCCCTGGTCCTGTGTCCGCGCAGACAGCCCCTTCGAATAAGTCTCACTGGCTTTGACAAGTGCCAGGGAGTGTTGATTCTTTGTCACTGGCTCCGGCGAGCCCAGGGCCCCCTGAGAACGCGGCTCAGGTCCCAGGCTCTTGCTGAGAAGGGTCACAGGATGGGACACGTGAACATCAGGGAGCACGAGCTGGGGGCTCTGCTGTGACGGGAAGGGCCGCCCACCACACCGCGTCCAGAGCTTTCCCAGCAGGGGGAGATTTTGATGGGACTCAGCCTGGCCTGAGCTGAGGACATCGCTTGCACAGGCTCCAGACCCCCTGCGGGGCCCCAGGGCTTTCCAGGGTCCTGGGGACATAGCAGCCCTGCAAGCCCTCAGGGCCTCAGGCTCCAGGTGCCCGGTGAACTCACGCAGCCTCCCTTCTCTGCCTCCAGGGCTGCCCCTCCGAGCACAGCACTCGACAGTCTGAAAAGAGTAAGGACGTGGAGCCTGTGACCCGCCCACCTCTCCCTTCTCCCCTCCCTCTCCTCCTCCCTGGGTTCCGGGCTCGGCTCTCAGGCCTTCTCCCGTGGGAGGGCCTCACTTCCTCAGCCCTCCTCACCTGGCCCCACCCCCAGCCCCCCACCTCCCTCCTCCACCTGCGGGGCCTGAGGGAGGGGCCCTGGAGGCGGGAGCGATGTGCCCCGGCCCTGCCCCTGCTCCCCACGGGTTGTTCCAGCGAGAAGGAAGGCCAGCAGCCAGGGGACGCACCTGCAGGGGAGAGTCGGCGCCCTCCTTCTGCCCAGCAGCTGAGGTGGCGGGCGGCTGAGGCTGCCGTCCTCGGGGACCCTGGGAACCCCTCCCCAGGGCAGGAGCTACGGAAGAGGGTCCCCGCGGGCCAGCGATCTGCAGCAGGAAGGGGTGAGGGGGTGCTGAAAGGAGTGACCCGGGAGGAGGGGACCTCAGGGTCTGAGCGTAGGGGGAGGGGAAGGAGGGGATTGGGGCGCTCGGCTGACCCCTCCCTTGCCCCCCCCCCCCCAGGCTCAGCCTCTGTGGCCATGGAGTCACTGCTTCCAGTCCTGTGGGCTTTGCTGGTGTGTGCGGGGCTTGCTGGCGGCAAGAAAGAGCCAGGTAGGGGCAGAGGGGAGGGCGCGGGGCTCCCAGAGGTGGACAGTCCTCTCCACCACGCCCCCCCTCCCCGGCTGCCCCGCAGGCCTGAACCTGAGCTGCTACCAGTGCTTCAAAGTCGCCAGGCTGGAGCTGTGCCCGCCCGCCCAGTGCAACCCCACCGACCGGGTGTGCGTGTCCAACACAGTGGTCCTGGCGGGGAGTAAGTCCCGGCAACCGGGAGGGGGGGGCGTCCCAGGGGGGGGCGTCCCGCACCTGCCGGCCTCACCGCCCCATGTGGCTCCGTCACCGCCTCCAGGGCGAGTGTGCTTGATCCTAAACTTTTCTCCACTTTCTCAAGTACCAGGTTGTTTTTTTTTAAATATTTTTATTTATTTCTAGGGGAGAGAGAGAGAGAGAGACAGCGTGAGCAGGGGAGGGTCAGAGAGAGAGGGAGTGACAGACTCTGAAACAGGCTCCAGGCTCTGAGCTGGCAGTCAGCACAGAGCCCGACGCGGGGCTCGAACCCACGAACCGCGAGATCGTTACCTAAGCAAAAGTCGGACGCTTAACCGACTAAGCCACCCAGGTGCCCCTCAAGTACCAGGTTTTAAATCCCGCCCCCCCCCAACTGTCCTCAGGGCAGAGGCTCCGGTGTAACTGAATGTACGGAGGGCTGGCTGTGCAGAGGAGGGCCAGCCAGGAGAGGCGCTGGCCCGGCTGCCCACCACCCTGCCCCCACCCTCAGCAGCTGCTGTGGGCCTTAAGTGATAGGACTTTCCAGAACAAGCCTTAGAGGAAATTATTAAGTGGAACGTGAACACAAGAAACGTCATGGAGCAGATCACCAGAAACGCTCTTTTGTCAAGTTACAAAAATATCCAGAGAGAGAGGGGGGGGGTGGGGAGGGACCCATCTGCTCTCCTGACCGATTGCGATTGGGGTTGCCAATTCTGCCTAGACGGTTCCGGGCCCCTGGGGACCTGCCAGCGCCGCCCCCCCATCTGGACCATCGTTCATTGAATCAGCTCCCCCTAATGAACCTCAGGAGGGACCTCCTGTCCTGATTTTCCAGCAAGAAAATCCGTGTCACACAATCAGGCTTCCCAGGGTAAATCTGTAAAGTGGACGTGCCTCTGAGAATCGCAGATGGCCCCTTTCCACCTGCGCCTCTCAGGAGGGACCCCCCCTCCACCCCCCCACCCCCCCTCCCCCGTGCTCTGCACCCTTCCGGGCCTGGCTTCTCCTGACAACGGAGAAGGTGCTCACTGTGATGGCGGCACTTGGCCCTGGGCTCCACCCAGGGATTCTGTGAGGGGGTTTCGGGGGCGGGGGGGCTCATGTAACGGTGGCCGTCCCTGCTGGAGGGGCCATCGGCCTGGGCTGCCCCGAGCACTGGGGAGGGCCACTTGGAATTCCAGGAGAGGAGGAGGCTGGCCTCTTGCGCCTTCAGGGACCCGCACCAAGCGCCACCCAGCAGCCTCTGCGCAGCCCAGGCCACCACGACAGAACGCCACACAGGCGGATAGAATTCAACACGACATCAGCACGAGCGGCTCGTCCCACAGGAAAGGCGGGCGGCCTTCTCTTCCACAGTTTGCACTGCTCTGAGCGTTTTCCTTCCTTCCCATGTTCCCTTCGGAGGCTGTGCCACATCCTCACACGAGCAGCGGGAGATGGGGCCACGCCGGGCCTGAGCGTGGGTCCCTCTGTCTCCCTGCCCCGCCCCACGTCCCCAGGACTGCAGGCTCCCGGGCTGGCCACGGCAGTCCAGGCCAGGGGGGCTACAGGGGAAAGCCCCCACTGGGGCCAGCAGCCCTGAACCCCAATTTTGTGGTGACCACAAAGGTGACCGTGGGGACCACTGCCCTGCTGGCCTGGGGGGTCTGGTAGCCCCTGCGGGGCCACGATTCTCTGCTTCTCAGGTTGAGTCCGGGCTTCCGGGCTCATGTGGAAAGCGTCCCCCCCCCCCCCGCCTGCCTCCTGCAGGCTGGCGGCCACCTGCTGTCTCCCTCCTTCAGGATCAAAGGTGGTGGTCACACTCAGCAAGCGCTGTGCCCCCAGATGTCCCAACACCAACACGAGGTATGAGTGGACATCGTGGCCCGTGGCCTCTGGCAGGATCGTCAGGCAGTGCTGCTCGGGCTCTCTCTGCAACGGGGGGGCCGCCCCCCGCTCGGCCCTGCTGGGGGCGCTCCTGCTCCTCCGCCTCCTCTGGGCCCTGCTCTGAGCACCTTCCTCGTGGCCCCAAAGACCCACTGCTCCCTCCCACCCCCGCCTCTGCCCACCCCTCCCATCCCTGGCGGGAGCCCTGTGCCCAGACCGCCGCCCTTAGAGGGGACACTGGGCGTTTCCCAGCTCGACCCCGTGTATAAGGTTTCAAGCCCTGAACTTACCGTCCAGGGCCCCGCGGGGCAAGAAGGGCCCGGGCAAGGCCAGAGGGCAGCTGCGGCCCTGATTCGGGCTCTGACATGGCCAGACCCCCCCCCCTCAGCCCTGCCCCCGCCGTCCGTGGGGTCCCAGGCAGGGTCCTGCCGGGGTGCCCAGCTGGGCATTGAAGCCACGACCACCGCCCCTTCTGGAGACAGTGAGCTCACTGCCTGACCGCTCGGTGCCCTCGAGCCTCCCGCCGCTGCCCCCTGCCGTGCCCAGACCGTCCCTCCAGCCTCCTCTGTGGCTGCGCGCCGCCTGCGCCAAGCCATCCAGCTGGGCCCGCCGAGCATGGGGCCGGGTAAGCAGGAGTCATGGGGGCCGGGGGGCCGGGGGGGCCGCTGCCTGGACGTGGGGTAGAGACCGCAGGGTCGGGGTCCGGGGCGTGTGGGCGGTGCTCATGTAAGGTACGCGGATGCGGAGACGCCGGGAGGGGACGGCTGGGCAGTGGGGCGACGAAACCCGTGTGGGGTGGGCGGCTGGGCTGGCGAGGGTGAGGCCGAGGGAAGGGACGCCCGAGCCGGCCTGCGGGGGGGGGGGGGGGGGCGGGGGGGCGCCAGGTGAGGGCAGAGGCGAGGACGGGGTTGGGACAAGTGGAACTGGTGACAAGCTCAGGGCTGTTCAGGCTGAGCTGCGACACCCAGGGGACACCCGGGGAGGGGCACGTCCTGGGGGATGGGGAGATGGTGGGCGGGGCTGGGAGCGGGCCCCTGAGTAAGACGCCCCGGAGGAGGGTCTGTTGGGGGAGAAGCACCTCCTCTGTGGTGGGTCCACCCAGTGCCCCCCACTCCCCACTCCGCACACCCCACCCCCCAGCGCACCTCCACCCAGCCACCCCTGGTCGTTTCCCCTGCCCTGGGCTCCTCGCCCCTCCCAGCAGGGTCTGCACACCAGCCCGCCTCCAGGTCCTTATACCTGCCCTTCAGGGCGCACCTGCCCCAATCTCCAGCCACTTGTCATTTTCCCCATGGACGCAGGTGGACTTGGCTGGCCCTTGGTGCCCCACGGCCTTTGCAGGCTCAGGACAACCCTAGGCCCTGGCTCATCTCTGTGCCAAGGAGGCCGCTGGAGGTGCAATGAGATCTCAGGTGAGAGAGATCTCAGGTGAGAGAGACCTCAGGTGAGGCCCGGGACAGGGACTGGACCTGGGCCAGGACCCTCCCCTGCACTAAGCTCGTGAGTTTTCACGCTGGACTTACACGTCCCGGGGTCGTCCAGGCAGGCCTGTCGCCCTCTTTGCCCGAGTCCCTGCCGTGGGGTTCCCGGCACGTTGGTGCATCAGGAGCCTCTGACTCCCTGAGCTTCGGGCGGGCCGGAAAGCCGGGGCCAAGGGACTCGACGGTGGGTGAGGGGTCAGGGGTCTCCCTTCGAGCTGCAGTTGCCGAGGAAATACCTGTGTGTGTGAACGGGGTCAGGAGCCCCCAGGGCCCACCGCTCCAGCCCCTCTCTGCTCCACAAAGATAAGAACTTTCGGAACTGGGGGCCCTGGTCCCCGCTCTGGACGGAGGCCCAAGAACTGCGGCCCCTCAGCTGGAAACCAGAACCTTTGCTGAATCAGTGGGTAAATGAAGCCACGAAGGTGAGCCCCGGGCACAGGGAGCAGCCAGGGAATCACCGAGAGCGAGGCTGGGGCGGTGGGGCCCAGCGCCCACGCCAGGGGCACCCGGAACAGTGGGGAGTGGGCCTGCCCCCAGCGGGGCCTCTGCGTCGTACCCAGCCACGTGGCCCCCCAAGTCCCCAGTGCCGCATGGCTGTCCCCATCCCTCCGACGCCAAGCCACACGGACCCCTGTCGGGCGTCAGGAAGGCCCCGCCGTCTGCGGGCGCTGCTGCCCTCACTTATCCGTTCCAGGGCTTTTGTTGCTGATTCCTTGGGGATTGGGGTCTGTTTTGTGCTCAGTGCTGGGAACTCAGGTCCCGATGCAAGCCCCCCTCCGCCCCTCCCTGGTGGTGACGCTCCTCTCTGCCCACTGAGGGCTCCTCTCCGGCCTGGGCCAGGCCCTGCCTTCGCCTTCTCCCACACGCCTCCTTCATAAACACTTGAGTTTCTGGGTCCCCCATCTGGTACTAGCTTAGCTCTTTGACTATAAAACCAGTATGGTGACTGGATGCTTGTAACCTCTCTCTTTGATGCCGGTCACCGGTTCTGTGTGCAGGGCTTGACCTGGGGAATCCCTGCCCCGTGGTGGGACCTGGCCTCCCCGATGGGGCTTGGGTGACTCTGCGCAGACGCCCTGCATGAGGAGGGGCTCTCCGGAGGCGCTTGGAGGGAGCAGAGGGCGGTGCGTGGGCTGCAGACCTTGAACGGAAGAGCGGCCGTGGGGGGTCTGGTGTCGCTCTCACCCCCTTGGCCCTGGAAAGTAGACCCAATCACGCAGAGTTTTATTTATTTCTGAGACAGAGAGGCAGCGTGAGCAGGGGAGGGTCAGAGAGAGACGGAGACACAGAACCCGAAGCAGCTCCAGGCTCTGAGCTGTCAGCACAGAGCCCGACGCGGGGCTCGAACCCACAAACCGTGAGACCATGACCTGAGCTGAAGTCGGACACTTAACCGACTGAGCCCCCCAGGCGCCCCCAGACTTTCTGTTTTAAAATGGAATTGGCACTCTGAGGAAAATGGGTGGAACAAAGCCGCACAGAGGGCCGGGGCCGAGACCCACGGCCGTGTGTGAGATCCAGCGCCCCCAGAAAGAGCGACAAGAAATGCCACAAGTGACGTCACCACGTGCGACACCAAAATGACATAGAGAAGGTCCCCGTAGCAACAGGGTGACAGAGTGGTGACGGCAGGCTTGGAAGGGAGAAGGAGGAACCGCGCACAGAGGGTCGTGGGGAGCTGGGTCCCTGCACTGGGGGCGCCACCGGCCGGCGGGCCAGGCGCTCCGCCCTCGGGCTGACGGCGGTCCTGTGGCACCGGGCCTCGTGGGAGCCCCCTCTGTCCACGTCAGAAGGGCGGCTTTTGACCGTATGGAAACCACAGTCGCAAGGTTGCCTGAGCTCGCAGGGGAGGTGCTCGCATACTTCTACGGAACAAGGCTGCACGTTTAGGGGAAATGGAGTATTTCCTGGCCAAAGCACAGCTGACTAAATTTAACCCCAGAAGTAAAATTTCAAAGTCTCCTTCACACACAAGCACAGCGGTGACAGCCACTGACACAGAAGAGGAAATGATGCCATTTTCGTGTGTTGGTGCTGTGGTGAGACCCTTGCAGACCAGATTTAGGAGCATATCAAGCAAGGACGTGTTTGTGTTTGTGTGTGTGTGTGTGTGTGTGTGTGTGTGTGTGCGCGCACGCGCGCGCACGTGAATCAATGGAATCGTTCAATAAGGCAACAGAATATGAAATTGAAATGAGGTCGACTGCCCACTAAAATGTTAAAATGAAAACTGAGAGCCTTTTTATATACAAGCAAGAACCAGCTAGATAGAGGATGTAGCGGGAGAGAAAACCTCACTCACAGTGGGGGCAAGAAAGTTTGTACTTAAAATAAGCCTGACCCCAGATGTGCAGCATCTACAGGAAATCTGAATTTCACACCCTTCCAAGAGGCAGCTTGGAACAATTGTGAAGACACTCCCACTTCCCACACTGAGGACTCAAAATAGCATGAAAATGTCAACTCTCTCTAACCCACAGACTTTTAAATTTAATGTGATTTCCATAAAAATAATAACTGGTTTTCTTCTTGAACGAGATGAGTTGAAATGGACATAAACAAAAACATTCTTAAGATCAGTTAGAAATACTCCGGGGAAAAGCAGAGTTGTGGGAGAACTAGTCTCCCAGACGTTAAACTGCACAAAACACAAAACAAACAAACAAACCCTCAAAAATCCAAGCAGTGTGTTATTGTCACGTGAATGGATAATCAAGTGAAAAAGATTATAATGACCAAAAACTAGACCCGAAACACATGGGGATTTTATGTATGATAAAGGAGGAATCTCAATGACTGGATCAAAGATGAAGTTCAAAAACTATTGGTGTGTCAACAAATGCAAATGCATGACTATTTGAAAAGCCAAAATTGGATGTAGATATGTGCGCCCATACATTACACCCAAGAGCAAACGAAACGTTAATTAAACAACTAAAACTATACAGATACCGAAATAAATGGTATGTAAATGTCTTCAAAACCTGGGTGCAGAGAAAGACTTCCTTGGTATAAATCAGATCCAAATACAAGAAATAAAAAGGTATGTTAGATGAGCCTGGGGGGGCTCAGTCGCTTACACGTCTGGCTCTGAATTTCAGCTCAAGTCGTGGTCTCACGGTACGCGGGATCGATCCCTGAGTCGGGTTCTGTGCTGACAGCTCAGAGCCCGCTTGGGATTCTCTCTCCCTCTCTCTCTCTGCCCCTCCCCCTGCTCGTGCTTTCTCTCTCTCAATATAAATAAATAAACAAACATGGAAAATAAAGATAGATTGGGGCGCCTGGGTGGCTCAAACAGTTGAGTGTCCACTTTGGCTCAGGTCGTGATCTCACAGTTCGTGGGTTCAAGCCCTGCGTCGGGCTCTGTGCTGACAGCTCGGAGCCTGGAGCCTGCTTCCGATCTGTGTCTCCCTCCCTCTCTGTCCCTCCCCCACTCACACTCTGTCTCTCACACTTTCAAAAATAAGTAAACGTTAAAAATTGTTTTTTGGGGCGCCTGGGTGGCTTAGTCGGTTAAGTGTCCGACTTTCGCTTAGGTCATGATCTCGCGGTTTGTGGGTTCGAGCCCCGCGTCGGGCTCTGTGCTGACTGCCAGCTCAGAGCCTGGAGCCTGTTTCAGTCTGTGACTCCCTCTCTCTCTGAC